CGCCAAAGCTCACTATGCCAGTCGTATCTTCCGCTGCTTCTTGTTACCTCTATGCCTACTACCGTCGCGTCGTAGTAGGTCACCGCCATTAATTTCAGACGAGGAAATGTTTGAGAAAGCATGCAGCAGAAGCGAGTATAGTATTGCAGGTTAAGGTGGTGTTGGAAAATACCTGCCTTTTTTGCTATGTGCGTGTAAATTCAATAGCGTACAGGACACCGTTTGTCTTTATTAGAAGTTTTACAAAAAAGGTAATAGATTTTATCTGTTACAACGAGAGATTCTTTTTGTTTTTGTTATTTTTTAGTTAACCTCCCGATGGATGTGCGGCCACGTTACCTATTACCAGAATACTAAGGCAGCGTTAAATTGTAGACAAGCCAGGCTTACTCCGGCATCTTTGATTGTAACTTTAACCGCGTAAGTGCCCTAAAAGAATAATTAATTTTATGTTTTGAAGTAAGTTCGAATATTACCGATGGAACAAGTCGTGATATTGAGAAGGTTTGTGAAACATCCTGAGAACTACCTGGTGCCATGGGACATTGTATCTTATCACATACTTGGGCGAGAGGGATGGAGAAAGAAGACCACATTAGACTAATATCAGCTGATATAGTTGTATCGGCACTGGCACCAATCACCTGTTGCCCTAAGAGTTATAAGTTAGATTTGATTTTAAATGAAAGAGTACTTACCAGCGGTTAAAGTCAAAGATACGGGGATTTGTGCTCCTTTTATTATTTTACACGGGTCTCCTTGGCAGTTATTCAAATTGAAATTGCTGATAGTGACCCCTTTTGTACCCTCGGTACCTAAAAAAACAAACGGTGGAGATTCATTACGGATGAAAACATTTTCAAATTATCAAAAGAAAATTTTCACTGAAACTTACAATCCGTATAAGGAGTTAGCGTAAAAACGGAAGAGCATAAAGCACTGATAAGTGCAAGCAACCAAAAAGATTTTACTACAGACATTGCAAGTTTAAGGAAACGTTCAAAAACTTTGCTTTATATAGGGCCAAACTGGTGGAGATGGCTACAGTCTTGAGCGCACAAACATTACGATTTACAACCACTTATGGTTTTTTTCATTGCAATATTTACTTTTTATTTAAATATGGAACGTTTTCACAACTGCGATAATCCTTACTTATACACATTTTATGTAATTTTTTTCAACATTTCTCGTATTCAAGCCATTTAATGATGTAAACATGTTTTTGTATAGGTATAATCTATAAAGACAAATATAAGTTGCGAACCATTGTTTGCAATAACAATTAAGCAAGGTAATACATTTCATCATACATAAAAAACAGCACGTGCATCTTCCAACTATACCAAACATCTGTACAAGAATGTAACAGATTATGTTGGGGTGCAAGTTACTTTCCGCATTCCTAAAAGGACAAACAACCTTACGTAAGATGTATGTCAGGGCCCTATCTGCACAATTTTGCGCAGGAATTAAACCACAGAAACGGGATGATGATGCTTTTGACCACTTTTTTTTACACCTTTTCATGGCAAAATTTACTGAACAATGTCCAATCAAATATGTAAATAAACATACAAAGAATAATACGCCTAGGACGCCTAGGTGGTACACAGAACATCTCAAAATAGTAACCAACAAATTGGACGCTTTTTCATTATTTAGAAGAGCTTGTGCAATGACTTGTGGTCATGAAGATTCAAAAACCATTTCGTTGTTTCTGCTCGAAAACATTTCCGGCAATTCCTCGGTAAAATATGTTTGAGAAAGTTTGCTAATGTGAAAACTCGTTTCCAGGTAGGTAATCTCGCGCACTTAATATTTTTCCCCCAAAGAAAATTTGTCCTCCTTGGCATATTAGCTCAATAGAAACATTTCCCCTTCCGCCTCACATGGAATTGAGATTTAAAAACTCTTTTTAATTAATGGCAACCTAAATTTCTCCCCAAGGAAACTCGCCTTCGCGCAAATTCGGGCCTAAGACATCTACCCGCCTCTATCGGAATAAATTACTGCAAGTGAAACACCAAAGTCAAATTACAGTTTGGGCAGATTGGGCTGGGTGTTGTCATTTCACTCAACGAAATCAAGTGTGTTGTATGAAAAAGGGTCCGCTGAATCCGAAATTCATAGTCTCCCTAGCCGAAAACTCTCGGAATATATTGTTATGTATAAACAAAAAACGAAGAAAAAGTGGCAAAATGTTGCTCTAAGGGAAAAAATGAAGAGAAATGAATTTGTTTAGAATTGAATTTTCCATAAGATACAGTTGGTATTAAACGTTCATGATGGTGGAATCCTAACACAACCATTTCCAAAAATTGTCTCCATGATTCTTGCAAATTGTAGGACTGTGGAATTTTTTTTAGTTAACTAACAAATTGAATAACTCCCGAAATATAGTCCGAAGTCAAAAGGCAAAAGCCGATTTCTCGTGAACTGGGATTTGGACGTATTTTTTTTTCATGTAGGGCCTTTCAAGAGCTTTCCATTCGCCTAATATAGATTAACATTTTTTGTGATATTTTGGAAATTATTCCATTTATTAACTAACAAAATTCTTTGGATTTTGTAAAAAAAGATTGCACAGTCCGTCGATTTGCAAGAATCAAAAAGTTTGTTTTAGGGTTCACTAACCGTACAAAAATTGAGAACGCTCTGGAAGTCGTCCTCTTGGAACTGAAAAAAACACTTTATCGGGAATATTTTTAATAGTGTTTTTGCACTTTTGTCCAAGACAATACCTATAAAATGGTTTTTTAGCTTTTTCCATGGTCTGAATAGCTATTACAATTGAAAATCTGTATAAATAACTCAACACTAAAACACTAAACATATACTGGTCGTGGCTTGTGACGTCAAACACATCGAATAAAGTCAACGTTTTAAATATTTAAGTTAAATTGAATTGTTCTAACAGTGTTTATACGTTTTACTATATTAGAAAGATGTAAAAAAGCGATTAAAAAATTTAAAAAATACATGCATATTCCCTATTGTAGTATCTACTATTGGACATTATAGTCTCCTACTAATTTGGCATTCAAGATACGCTTCGATGTTGGGGATTACACAAGCGAGTTTTCCAGTCAAGTCAAACATTAAAGTCGAGCGTGTAGACTTGGTGTCAGAGCGGGGCAGTATTCGATTTTGTAAATACTTTTTAGTACTCAAACCCATTAAAGTATTCAAATACTTTTTAATTAAATACTTTTATGGAAGCAGTATTTGTATTTGTAACTCAAATACATTCACAAATATTTAGTATTCGAATACTTCGCAAAGTATTTGAATAGCCCAATCTTGGAACTGTTTGAAATTATGGAATCCATAGGCCACATTCTATAAGAACATTTTTTTCGCGGTCGATCTGAGACAATTTTTTTTTCGGGGCAAAAAAAAGGGCAGTGTATAACCTTCCTTTTTTATCAAAAATCGACTGCACCAAAATTTCTCGGGAAAACACTTTTTCTTATTAATTTTGACGCGTAGAGTCCAAAACAATTCGTACTTTTTCGATCGGACTTCTCAATCAAAAGTTATGGACTAGAAACCAATTTCGAAAGAAAATTCAAAGGGCTGTAACTTTTGAACTAGTAGCCTAATCTTGGAACTGTTTGAAATTATGGATTCTACGGGTCCTTTCTTATATCCTTAAGACCATATGTACCAATTTTCAAAGCGATCGCACGTTTCTAAACAAGTTATCATGCACACGGACCAACGGATGATCAAAAATGGATCTGTTCCAAAATCGCTAGGATTAATTTCAGAAAGGCGTAGGTACGTATCATGTGCACGACGTACGATCGCTTTGAAAATTGGTACACGTATTCTTAAGGATATAACTGGTATAAGAAAGGTCCTGGTAGGTACCTCCTATATAATAATACGCTTTTACTCCCCTTAAATTTGTATAAACAATAGAAATATAAAAAAAGGTAACCCCATACAAAGTATAACTTGATTTTTTAAGTAGTATTAAGCCTTTTATCTAGTATACGATTTTAAATTTTTAATGTATTTGAGTGACAAGTATTTGAATACTTTTTACTGTATTCGAATACTTTTCAAAGTAAGATAATGAAATACTTTTGAAAGTATTTGAATACATTCTAAAGTATTTGAATACTTATTTTTTTAAGTATTTAAATACTTTTCAATGTATCTGTATCTAGTATTCGCTTGTGCTGGACGTAAAAGTATTTAGTATTCAAATACTTTTTGAAAGTATTCTGCCCAGCTCTGCTTGGTGTTCACATAATGCTTTCGTAATTGTTTTAGGAATCGTTTGGACTGAGCCCTCTCCAATCGAAGGTTAATCAATAATAATTGAAGGCAAGTGGCCGGTGGCGTCGCCTGGCGTCTTACTCTAATAAGATCCATTTATCTTTGTGCATACCTTGTCGTTACGTTTATTTATTTTCGCGTCATTCAAGTTAAAAGTTGAGGGAAAATCAAATCTCTACTATGTCTTCGATCGCGATCGAATAACGGGGATGATTTAGGTTGGGATCCATTATGGTTTCAGTTCAATTTTGAAATAGTTTTTATATGGGAATTTTTATTTGTGTTGTCGGAGAAATAGTGAAGGGAAATTAAGTTATTGAATTGAGTTTGATTGTTGAAGAACCCAGTATATACTTATTTGATTTCATTGTTACTTTGTTGGTGTCTTCTCAATTATGTACATGGAGAGGAGAGCTAAGTTTTTCAAGAGAGTGGGGTGGTGCTCAACCTTACGAAGAAGCTACGTACGTTTTATCTTTTGATCGCAAGAGACAGCGCGATAGTCGCTTTAATTTTTGTTCTCGAACCTCTAGATTTTCAATTTTTCGCCAAAGCTCACTATGCCAGTCGTATCTTCCGCTGCTTCTTGTTACCTCTATGCCTTCTACCGTCGCAGTAGGTCACCGCCATTAATTTCAGACGAGGAATTGTTTGAGAAAGCATGCAGCAGAAGCGAGTATAGTATTGCAGGTTAAGGTGGTGTTGGAAAATACCTGCCTTTTTTGCTATGTGTGTAAATTCAATAGCGTACAGGCCACGGTTTGTCTTTATTAGAAGTTTTACAAAAAAGGTAATAGATTTTATCTTTTACAACGAGAGATTCTTCTTGTTTTTGTTATTTTTTAGTTAACCTCCCGATGGATGTGCGGCCACGATACCTATTACCAGAATGCTAAGGCAGCGTTAAACTGTAGACACGCGAGACTTACTCCGGCATCTTTGATTGTAACTTTAACCGCGTAAGTGCCCTAAAAGAATAATTAATTTTATGTTTTGAAGTAAGTTCGAATATTACCGATGGAACAAGTCGTGATATTGAGAAGGTTTGTGAAACATCCTGAGAACTACCTGGTGCCATGGGACATTGTATCTTATCACATACTTGGGCGAGAGGGATATTGTAAGAAGACCAAAGTAGTGAAATGTCAGCTGATATAGTTGTATCGGAAGTGGCACCAATGACCTGTTGCCCTAAAAGAGTTATAGGTTAGATTTGATTTTGAATGCAAGAGTACTTACCAGCGGTTAAAGTCAAAGATACGGGTATTTGCGCTCCTTTTATTATTTTACAAGGGTCTCCTTGGCAGTTATTCAAATTGAAATTGCTGATAGTGACCCCTTTTGTACCCTCGGTACCTAAAAAAGACAAACGGTGGAGATTCATTACGGATGAAAATATTTTCAAATTATCAAAAGAAAATTTTCACTGAAACTTACAATCCTTATAAGGAGTTAGCGTATAAACGGAAGAGCATAAAGCACTGACAAGTGCAAGCAACCAAAAAGATTTCACTAAAGACATTGTAAGTAGGTATAAAGAAAAGCTAAAAAAACTTTGCTTTATATAGGGCCAAACAGGTAGAGATGGCTACCGTCTTGAGGCCACAAACATTACGATTTACAACCACTTTTGCTTTTTTTTCATTGCAATATTTGCTTTTTATTCAAATATATGGAACGTTTGCACAATTGCGATAATTCTTACTTATACACATTTTATGTAATTTTTACAAAATTTCTCGTAACATCTCAAGCCATTTAATTATGTAAACATATTTTGGTAGGTATAATCTATAAAGACAAATATAAGTTGTCAACCATTGTTTGCAATCTCAGTTAAGTAACGCCATAAATTTCATCATACATAAAAAAACAGCACGTGCAATCTGCTAACTATACCAAACATCTGTACATGAAATACGTGTAGCGGTTTATCTTGGGGTGCAAGCTACTTTCCGCATTGCTAAAAGGACAAATTTGCAAACAAATAAAAACAAGCTGTAAATCAGCATATGCATGATTAAAGCGCATTTTTGGTAATGCAGGTCAGTATTTTATTAGCGAAGTTTAAAATTATCGACCTCAAAAGTAATTTTGGCTGCGTTAAATAATTAATTTTATTTAATTTCAATTGACGGTAGGTACGTCTTCATTTTGTAAAACAAATCAGAAAGTAAATAATGTTTTTATACTGGTAGCGCTATCTAACGGTAAAATTATAGCACCTCCGAAACCCATATCGAAATTATTTTCTTCAATTATCGATCTCACAAGTAATCTAACTTAAAATAAACTAGTGCCTGCACATCTACACTATAGCAGAAAGCTTTTAGTGAAATTTTGAATTCTCTAGCTATTGTAGTTGTGGAGATCTCACGCGGACAGCCGGCCTGCCAGCCATAACGAATATAATAGCGTATTTTTTTCAAAAATGCGCTAAAAACTTGCGTAAGATGTACATCAGGGCCATATCTGCACAATTTTGCGCGGGAATTAACCAAAAAAACAGAATGATGTATATGTCGTAGGCAAATAGTTATTTCAGGCATATGGCATTTTCCCGGGCAAATGCTATCTACCTGAGCAAAAGGTACTTTTTAGTTTTTAAATGCCATTCGACTAGGTAAATGGTATTTGACCAGTCAAATGGCTACCAGTCAAATACCATTTGCGTAAGCCCATTTTGGGCAAATGGAAATGATCGATCCACTTTGATTATTATTTTAGGTATTAAAAAGAACGCAAACTTCTTATAAAACTAACAAAACATAAATTCTAGTAATAACAAAATGTAGTCATTAGTTTTTATGCGTTTTTAACAAAAAAAAGGTTATTAATAATGGGTACGGAAAATTCGGGGTAAGTTAACCTGCGTCAAATAAAAACATCTTTCTGGTAACACAAAATTATAAATAATAATTATTTATATTCGTAATAATATAATTCATTTATTTAGCAAGGATTACTAGATTGGCACTTACTACTACATAGATGTTTTTCCTTGAAGCATGCACAATGATTAGTGTTACACTGGCGTTTTGACGGTTGACAGTGACGTTTAGCAACTCCTTGCGTGTTGCCCTGAAAACATCGATTGTTCAGTACATGCTTCTCTTAATGAAAAAACCGATCTTGAAGAGTTTAATTAATATTGTTAATAGGGAATATGCATGTGGTTTAAATTTACTTGATTCTTTCTCCCGCGAATATTTATTGTCCTGACATTATACTTAAACCATTAGTTTCTTATTTAGTTTCTTTTTAATTGCAAAAAATGTAAATTCAAAAGTGAAAAATAAGCAAATGAAATTGAAATTTGCGAAAGGCTTCACTATTGGACGAATGAAAGTGACGTCAAACGCCACGCGATCGCATTTATTGTGTCAATATTCATAAGTACTTAGACCAGTCAAATTACAGTTTGGGCAGATTGGGCTGGGTGTTGTCATTTCACTCAACGAAATCCAGTGTATTCTATGTAAAAAGGTCGGCTAAATCCGAAAATCATAGTCCCCCTAGGCGAAAACTCCCGGAATATATTGTTATGTATAAACAAAAAACGACGAAAAATGGCAAAATATCGTTTCTTTTCGCATTTGACTTCAATTATCTCGTTAACTATTGCTCTAAGGGAAAAAATGAAGAGAAATTAATTGGTTTGGAATTGAATTTTCTATAAGATACAGTTGGTATGAAACGTTCATTTTCAAATGCTATTGTTTTTTACGGAAAAATGTAAAAAAGCAATCCCGAATATTATCAATTGGTTATTAGTTACTAAGTAAAATTCATCCGATCTTTTTGAAAATCCGTATTTGACCACTTCTTTTGATAATAAAACAATATGACAAACCCGATCAGTGATCAAAATCAAAAAATAAACTAATATGATACATTTTCTAAAGTTGGCTTTTATTTCAATAAATGTTCAAAATGGTTTCCGTAATTTATATTAAAGCAGTAGTATAATCTATTCTCAAACTATTTCCAAACCTTTTCAAATGTTGGTTTTGCAATATTTCGACATTCTTGAATTATTCTGTCTTAGTTCGTCTATGTTCGCCGGTTGCGTTTTAAATACGACAGATTTTAAATGTAGGTATCATATTAGTTTATGTTGTTGGAAAGCATTTATTCAGAGTTTTCCAACTCGCTTTCCAACGACGTATCACATATGGGGGGTCACTTTGAGATTTAAAGGTTGGGCCTGGATAAAATTACGTGTTTTTTGTCTAGTTTTAACTCCATGTTCAATTTTAATTACGAGTGCAATCTCAAGTTCAACTCACGCTTGAAATCAAGATTGATTCTTTATTAACCGACTTGGCAATCAGGCAGCGGGTATCTTGTGGAAAGAGTACACAAGGGCAAGGTTAACATATGCCCGGGAATAATGATAAGGAATTAGGTGAATGGGTCGATCATATTAAGAGTAATTAATTAATTAGGGGTAATTCCTCTTTCAGGAACATTTCAATCATAATCATTTTAACAATTTAATTATTCTTATTGTTGGTTAATTTTTCAAGGACAAGATTGTGAGTAGTTTAGCCTGTAATTCTAATCCGTTTTCCAATCCTTGATTGAGTGTTGTTTTATTTTCAATTACTATAAGATATTTTTGTCTCCTTCCGAGTTCTAATTTGGAGTTCAGGACACGTTCCAATTTTGGGGATTACACAAGCGAGTTTTTCAATCAAGTCAATGTTAATTTCGAACGTTCAGACTTGTGGTACATATATACTGCATTCCTAATTTGTTGTAGGAATCGTTTGGAGATGGCTTTCTCCAATCGAAGGTTCTTCAATAATAATTAAAGGTAAGATTGTTGTCTATTTATCTTCGTGCATACCTTGCCATTACGTTTCGGTATTTACTTATGCGCCATTCAAGTTAAATGTTAAATTAAATCCTTACTATACCTTCGATCGCGATCAAATAATGAGGATTGTTTAGGTTGGGATTCATTAGGGTTTTAGTTCAATTTTTAAATAGTTTTGGTATATGGTGTTGTATTGTGTATTAATGTTATTGATTTCATTTTGATTGTTGAAGAACTCGGTATTTCCTTATTTGATTTCATTGTTACTTTGCTGGTACCTACTCAACCTTACGAAGAAGCTACGAAGATGTTATGGACTGATATCAGCAAGGTCATTATAATATACTTACATGTAGTCAGTATTGAATAAACTATTGCTGGAGTACGTGTTATTCTTCTGCAGTAACATTCACCTGATCTCTGGTAATTGCTTCTTTATTTTGTGCTATTTTGATCATATCATCCCAAGTAGCACTGGAAGCATCCTCTTCAAATAGGCGCTCCATAATTACACCCGGTTCCAAGCCAATTACAAACTTATCCGTTAGAATTACTGCTAATTCTGTACCGAATCCACATGAAGCAGACAAACTTCTTACCCTAGCTGCCCATTCAGCTACTGTTTCTTTTCAAGTTTTTCGAGCACTGTAGAATTTGTAACGAGCGGCATATAATGCACGCCACTGGAGTTAAATGCTTTTTGAATATTTTAATGAAATCGGCATATGTTTTTGATTCAGGTTGGTCCGGAACACACAAACTTCGAATTAATCTATAAGTGTTTTCCGCAAAACAATTTAACAACACCGCACGTTTGCGTGTGTCACTGCTGATTTCGTTTGCGATGAAAAACGGTTCCAATCGCGACAGAAAAATTGAAAAATCACTACTTTCATGATTAAATTCAGCAACTGTGCCCAACAGTCCAACATTTTGAACAACCGTTTGAACCTTACTTGCTGCTGGGTCCGGCATAATTGATTAATTATGTAATTAACCAGTGTCCAGCACACGATGCACCAACAATCCTCGTCGCCACTGTTATGTATTTGCACAATTAATACTGATTGCACTGCAGAAGAATAACACGTACTCCAGCAATAGTTTATTCAATACTGACTACATGTAAGTATATTATAATGACCTTGCTGATATCAGTCCATAACACTTCTTGTCACAGCTCCTATAGAGGATGATGACGAGAAAAGTGACAGGGTACTGAGAAGACGGTCACAATTAAAACCCCCAGACAGGTATGGGGCAGAAATTTAAATGGGGAGGTTTGTTATGGACTGATATCAGCAAGGTCATTATAATATACTTACATGTAGTCAGTATTGAATAAACTATTGCTGGAGTACGTGTTATTCTTCTGCAGTGCAATCAGTATTAATTGTGCAAATACATAACAGAAGATTTCATGAGAACAAACGAACTAACCGCTGTAGGGAATCTCAAGCCCTTTTATTTTTCCATCACTGAACTAGTAGGTCAAGTAGAAGTGAGACACTTGATCTTTTAATCGCAATTCGTATCTTAGACAGCGCGATAGTCGCTTTAATTTCTTTTCTCAAACCACTAGATTTGCGATTTTCCGCCAAAGCTCACTATGCTAGTCGTATCTTCCGCTGCTTCTTGTTACCTCTATGCCTACTAACTACCGTCGCAGTAGGTAATCGCCATTAATTCCCGACGAGGAAATGTTTGAGAAAGGATGCAGCAGAAGCGAGTATAGTATTGCAGGTAAAGGTGGTGTTGGAAACTACTGCCTTTTTTGC